CTAAGACTCTGCAGAGATCTCCTCTCTGGTTTTTGCCTGCCTGGGCTGATCCCAACTTGCAACCCAGAGAGTCTCCAGCATTCAAAGCTGGCTCCATATGACAGATACCCATGTGGCCAGGCACCCAAGTGGCCAGGCGGCTTTGAACTGAAACATAACCAGCAATCTTTTCCCAGGTCAGACTGGGTAAGGTTTCCAAAGCTGTGTACCACAAAGAGAGTGTCCCACGAAGAGGGCTCTGGGGGAGGAGTTGCCAGAAAGGGTGAAGGATCAGTGTGACACACAAGTCTCCGCTTCAGAGGATCTGAAGTATGTGTGCCTTCCTTCCTGAGTCTGCAGGTTTCAGCTGCTTGTGGTGGAACCAGGCAGGGATCCCGTCGATTTCATCATGGCGGGGATGGTCAGGATGATGGTGTAGGGTTCCTTCCCAGTGGGAGTGAGGCCATCTTTAAGGAGCTTCTTAACCACAGTGGAATCTCTAGATTGGAAGGGATGGACAGGATGTGGACTGGGCCATGGCAGTGTCTCCCGGACCTATTCATGCTCCTGTAAATTCTACAGAAACTTAAGAAAAGAAACATGATTAAGTTAACCTAAGGCGGGGGCTGACTTCAGTGAAATCTATCTCCCAATGCTCCCCTGGAGAGCTTCCTTGGGCCCTGACTCCCCCATGTGGCTTTTTACCCTGTTTTGTGTTGACCTGAGCACAGGCAGAGCACCTGGAGGTTGCCTGGAGTACCTGGTTGTGCAAGGCTCTGCCCAGAGCTTTGCATAAGGAAATATTACTGTCTGGCAAGATTCAGCGCCCTGCAGAGTTTTGTTCTCCACCCAATGTCTTGGCTAGATGTTGTTTTTCCTTGGAGAACGCTGGCTTGGATGGCAGGTTGGGGTTGGGAACAGTCAATAAAACATTTAGGGGGCCCCACTGGTTTTAAGGCAGGGTCTCTGGCAATGGCTGGTGGCTGTGTGATTTTCTTTTACTACTACAGTGTCTATCCCCTTTCTGATGCCATGGGCAATGTACCAGGGCGACAACTTTTAGTGACCAGATTTCCTCCAATGAGGCTAGGATTTCCAGGACTGACATAGAAGGCTTGGGCCTGTCACCATCTCTCATAAATGAGGTCTCTTCACTCAAAGGGGTCTATACTTGTCACCACTGTGTTCCCATGCTTATTTTTCCTAAATAATCCTGCCTCATTTTTCCAAAAAGAAAAAATGACTTCAGTCCCTCTATCTTAAGGGAAGGTGAGGGGTGAAGATCCATCTTCTGTAACTGCTTCGAGCTGTGTATGGGGCTCTGACCCTGCCTAGCCACAGACCTGAAGTCTTGTCCTATCTTACAAATGGGTGACATGATAAATTCAGCTGTCGGATTGCTAGGATCAGATGTCATCAGGAGCATTTATTTTTACTCCAAGCTGGAAGGGGAGCCATAGAATTAGGGAAACACAGAAACAATATAAGGAACAACAAATATCTCCCTACATATTAGTACTAAATGGTTAAAAATAGGTCAGGAGATCATTAAAGCTAAGAACAGTGTTATATTCAACATTTAACTTTTTACAACTGCACTGGTTTCTTCTTGGGCTGCAGTAAGAATGTCTAAAGGTGTCCTATTTGAAGGACAGCTTGTCTCATCACTTTTTGCCTCTGAATTTAACAAAGAGATCCCATTGGCAGCATCCTTGAAGGCTTGCTGGGTATATGGAATGGAGACGGAGGCCAGGTGATTATACTGTGGGAAAATAGACCCAGTCCACCTGTGTCATAATGCTGGCAGATTTGCAGGCTTTGTTAAAGTTGAGACTCATCTCAAATATGAGTTACAGTTGTTGAGGTACTGAGAAGGACAGTGTAAGTTCCCTTCCATCTAGGTAAAAGTTGGTCTGAAGGGGTTGAAAAGCCAGTTTTATATAGCAGGCCAGTATAACTTGTTTAGCACTGCAGTTTGTAAAAGCATTTTCCTGATGTTTGGTGAATCTCCCAATGCCTAACACAGTGCATTAATAGCTGTAAAGGTTTCCAAATAGCTTTTAATAGGGATATGATCTTAGGTCCATGCCCTATTGGGAAATTATCATTAGCCAACAAATCGCCTTTATAAAAATGTCTGCATTTGCCAAGTGCCAGTGGCTCATGCCTGTAATCCTAGCTACTCAGGAGGCTGAGATCTGAGGATTGTAGTTGGAAGACAGCCAACGCAGGAAAGTCTGTGAGACTCTTACCTACGATTAACTGCCAGGAAACCAGAAGTGGCGCTGTGGCTCAAGTGGTAGAGTGCTAGTCTTGAGCACCAAGAGCTTCAGGGACAGTGTCCAGGCCCAGAGTTCAAGCCCCAGAACCAACAACAACAACAACAAAAGTCTGCATGGGCATGTAATACCAAGAAAACATACTATAATTTGTACAGATATTAAGAGTAGCGTTTTGACCTACTAACACCTCAGCCTTACCCTCTTTCCCTAGTGTGTGGAGCTAAACCTGTGTTCTACAGAAGCAAAGCAAACTATCTAGGGGAACAACCAGGGGGCAATCAAGGGCCAGTTACAGGGGCAAAACTTTAAACAACATGACACATCTGTAGTTCAAAGAATGACCCATTTCAACTCTAGGGTTTTCACAGCTAAGTGAAAAGTCCTCATATCTATTTTTTAATATTTTTATTGTGAGAATACTGTACAGAGGAGGGGTTGCAGTTATATGAGCAACTATCATCTATTAAGATACCAGTGTGGTGGTGAGGACAAGACAATGTTACTTAGACCCAGAATCCCTATTTCAAAACCACATGGGAGGCCTTAGTTGGGAGGATCAGGTTCCAGACTAGCCCTGGTTGAAAAGTCTGCAAGAATCCATCTGAACAGAGGGAAGCTGGACATGTCTGTCAGCCCAGCAACTAAAAGAAGCCGAAAACTGTTATCTCAGTCCAGCCAATACCGAGGCAAGAAGTTAGATCCTATTAAAAAACAACCAGTGAACTTAAACTGTAACAAAATGAATGGCAACTATGTTGTATGTAAGTGAGGTCAAGGGGAAGGGAAGACAAAGAAAGAGAAAAAGAGTAGGTCAATAAGTTATAATATTTGGTGTGTTGCGGGCTGTTGGTGACTCATGCTTGTAATCCTAGATATTCAGGAGGCTGAGATCTAAGGATCAAGATTTGATGCCAGCCCAGGCAAGAAAGTCCATGAGACTCTTACCTTCAATTGCTTACCCAAAATGTTTAGCCAGAAATGGAGCTGTGACTCAAGTAGTAGAGCTCTAGCCTTGAGCAAAAAAGCTAAACAACAGCCCAAGGCCCCTAATTCAAGCCTCAGAATTGGCACCTCCCTTCCTACCCTCCCCCCAAAGATTCAATGTGCCTCTATGCAAATGGAGCCAGATAATTTGAAAGAATGAATGAGATTGGGGCAGATGGAGGAGGGGAAATAATGGTTTTTGTTTTTTTTTTGTTTTTGTTTTTGGTCAGTCATAGGTCTTGAACTCTGGGCCTGGGCACTGTCCCTCAGTTCTTCAGCTCAAGGTTAGCACTCTACTACTTGAGCCATAGTGTCACTTCCGTCTTTTTCTGCTTATGTGGTGCTGAGGAATCGAACCCAGGGCCTCATGCATGCAAGGCAAGCACTCTACCACTGAGCCACCTTCCCAGCCCCTAAGGAGAGGGAATAATGGAAGGGATGATGTTACTCAAGATGCATTATATTCATAAACTGACATGTTGAAAGGAAACTCCTTAAAGAGAACTTTCGAGCAAAAATTATTACAAAAAATTACAAAAAGCTACAACTTTTTGTAATAATAATAATGATGATAAATAATAATAACCATGGCTGAGGAATGACTCAGTGATATAGCACTAAATGAGTCTGTGAGTTCAAACCCCAGTACCAGCACCAGAAAATAAAATGGACTTCTGTAGAAAAAGAACTAAGCAACCCAAAGACAGCAATGGGAAGAGAGGAATGAAGGAAAGAGGGAACAGCCTATACTAAGCAAAAGGAAAGAAATGTAAACATCACCTGATGTGGAAGAAATACAATTTGACAATACAATTATTGTCAAAGCTCATAGAATTCACAAATGTTATAGACCATGATAATGACAATTTGCCTTGTGAAGGTTAAAATGTGTTTGTGACTTTAACTGTCTCACTATTCCACAAACTGTGAAATATGTAAAATTTATGTACTCACCTAATCTCAATTAAAAAAAAGAAAAGTGAGAGAAGGGTTGGGTTAGGATGGGTGACAATGTTGTCAGACACTTTGTATTCATATACTGTTTTGTAGAATGGGAACTTCTTTGTACAACTACTTAAAGATAATAATAATAAAAATATGTAAAAAAAATGGACTTCTGTGTCTGCTGTCACATTGGGCCCGCTTACTTTTAACGTGGACTCAAACTTGAGTACTTCAACAACAGACAGGTGTTCCGAGGTGATCCACATGCAGACAAACTCTCCTCTGCATCCTGTAGTTTTGAGCAGCCTTTTGTTGTTACTATTTAACCTGAATATCTTTCAAGAACCTTGAATTTAGTGACTGCTGCAGTGCAACCCCGTTCTCCCAATTGAGGTGACTTAGACAGGGAAACTTCTCAGGCATTTCCCATGGATGCTAAGGTTGGCAGGTCCTAGTTTAAAAGAGTTCTTAATTCCAGTTCCTGGGCAGAAAAACAAAACCAGATGTTATCAACCTTATTGGTAGCTGGAGAATTTTGTTAGTTCAACCTATGGCTCTAATTATTTACCAGATCTCTCAAAATAGGTTTCCACAATATAGATGGACTATGAATAAGAAATAAAACCTCTTCTGCAAAACGTTACAGTTTTATTGTCATGATGTTCATAAAAGAATGTAAACTACATCTCCTGTTCTTCTCTCTCTCTATGAAATCTTGTTTCTTTTTTTTTCTCCTCCTACTTGCACGTGACCAGTCAACCTTTGGACAGATATTTATTAAGTGTCCCATCTGTTTGCCTCATAATCTGTGGCCAGAAGAAACAATCTGTGTCTGCTGGGACAAAAGGAAGGCTATGGATCACAAATACCAGCGTGTGGCCCTCAATGATGGGCATTTCATGCCTGTCCTGGGATTTGGCACAGTTGTACCTGAGAAGGTAACAGTATTGCTTTTTTGTGTAAGAAAATAAGTGGAGGATATCAGTAAAAGCTGACCTGAATTTCAAGTCTGTGTTCCTGGGTGATTTTCAGGACACACTTTCCAGTCTGTGTCTCCAGGCTTAAAGAAGAAAGTCATAGATTGCTGTGCACTGTGGTGTGGCCTTAGGACACTCACTGAATGTTTTGGGCTCTCTCTTCTCCTTTAGCTCCCAGTCTGTTTCATTGCCTGGTGTCAGAGATGCTACTTAGCAGTCAAGAGTGTTGCTGTCTTCTCTTGGTAGAATTGGGTGGCAATGGGATTGGTTCCTTGGTTTATTTCTGTAATTTAAGAACTCTTTGACTATTGTGTTCAGCTCAGAGCGACAGAAATGGCTGGTCCTTGGCTAAATGAGATCTTCTCTTCATGGTTCTTACTTCTGGTAACTTTCCATGACAGGAAAGTATAAGATTATTATTTGGGAGAGGTAAACTGCAATAGAATTTAGAAGCAAGTCTGAATTCTGGATCTGGGTTCATAAACATTGACTATGAATCAAAATGACAGAAGTGGGTTTCTGTATCCACTGTGTGAGGTCTCTAAATATCAGCAAGTAAATGTTTCAATAGACTGGAAAATATTTTCATTCCAGTAGTGTCCTTAGATTGCTCATTATGCAATAAGGGCTAATTAAAACTTCAGTGAGTCTCATTTTTCTCATACAGAAGACACAGAAAGAACATCCATTGAGGCATTTTGAAGATCTCTTGTAGGTGTTTTTTACTTCATTTTGCAAACTGGCACAAAGGGAGGCATGGAAGGATCAAGGACACACTGCATCTGTAGCCATTACAATCACAATCTTTCCTAAAGTAGGTGGGTTTTATTATTCTGAAAGAGTACCTACTTCACAAAGCCTTTTCAGGATGAACTCATAGATCCTTTTCAGGATTGTGTTTGATTTCTTACGTAAACATTTTTGTGAAGATAGTAAGCTTTATAAAAAAAATTATACTTTTCTTCCAGACCACTACAATAAAACAACTATTGCAACAAAGTGAATCATTTGAGTATTTGGTTTTCAATACCTTTAAAAGGTGGTGTGTTTATGTCAGAGGCCAGTGACTCATGACTTGTAATCCTAGCTGTGTAGGAGGCTGAGATCTGAGGATCTTAGTTCAAAGCTACCTAGGGCAGGAAAGTCTGTGAGAATATTATCTCTAACTAAGCAAAGTTGGAAGTGGAACCATGGCTCAAGAGGCAGAGCACTAATCTTGAACAAAAAAGCTCAGGGACAGCACTCCGAGTTCAAGCCCCAGAACCAGCACACACATACACACTCTCTGTCTTGCACACACACTTTGTATTTATAATGCTACAGAATAGTAAGGATGCATACCATTTTTTCCTCCTCACCCTTTTATCTAGCCTTAGCTGCTCCCAACCTCCCCTCATCTCTCTCCTTCCTTCCCTTCCCTTTTCCTCCCTTCCTTCCTGTCTCTTCCTGTCTGTCTCGCTTTTACTCTGTCTCTCTGTGTATGTGTGTGTTCATGCATCAGAATGTTAAGTTGCACATCTTAGGCATTTTTAACTTATAGAAAATAATACCATGTCTATTATACATAAATGAAACACAATAAAAATGAGGTATGCCTATATCCCTGTGGTATATTTATATACTCCTTGCAATTCAGTAAGAGTGGTTTTATAAAAGAGTTGTTTTTAATAGTGGTTATGGTAATTTAATAGTAAGAGTTAATTTAACAGCACTGATTATATCTAGAAGACTTAGTTTAAGGAATGTGCTCATTTTCAAATTGATACCTCTTGGAAACTGAGTATTTCGTTTCTTACCACATCCTGACTGATAAAGAAGATAACAGTATCTTAACTATTGTCCAAATATTAGGGTTTATGTAGATCTGATTTTCTTTGTAGACTGTAATTTTTTGTGTGTGGTATTGGAAAATGTGTATTAAATCAGCCACTCAGGTGAAACTAGAAATGTAGTCTCTAAACAGCTTCTGTTGTAGATGGTCATTTTTATTTCTTCCTCAGAAATTGATTGTTGTGGGGTTTATAGCACTGAATTGAATGGGACAGCAGAAGGATCATTATACTTTGTACTGGATTTCCTCTATACTAGATTTCCTCTGTGCACCCCCTCCCCCAGGGTCCCTGTTTTCTGCAATGATTTTACTTTGTATCCTCTCTATATAAATGACAGCCATGGCTATAACTGTACAATTAGTCTGGTGAGTCTTTCCAGAAAATACATGGGTGATATCCAATACCAGTGATAAACTAAAAGATAGATCAGGACTGCAAGTGCTCATGGGATGTCCGTGAACTAACCCAAGACATAAGAAAAAAATCTTGTCTATCTTGAAATATCTCTCACCACATAGTTACCCAAATACTACTTTTGGTTATTTTTCTAGGTTCCTATGAGTGAAGCCCTGAAAGCCACAAAACTTGCTATAGATGCTGGGTTTCGTCATATTGATTCTGCTTATTTGTATCAAGTAGAAGAGGAGGTAGGATTAGCCATTAGAAGTAAGATTGCAGATGGCACTGTGAAGAGAGAGGATATGTTCTATACTACAAAGGTATTGTTTACATGATATACTATTGCATATTTATTATTATATTTATATTATTATGTTGCACTATATTATATATTATTATATTTCACTTATATATTATATTTATTATATTCTAATTATTTATTTGTTATATTTATTTTACTTATTGTTATTGTATAGAAATAAAAATTGATGCGTTGTATTCATAAACTTTGTTGAGTGGCAACTCCTTTGTACAACTATTTAGAGATAATAAAAATAGCAACTCCTTTCACAATTATTTAAATAAATAAACATTAAAAAATGGCACTATGCAATTGGATGAATAGCTGCTCAGTAAATTATAACTAGCACACTTTTGTTGCACACATTTGTATATTAAAATTATGGTCAGCTGGGTGCCAGTGGCTCATACCTGTAATCCTAGTTACTCAGGAGGCTGAGATCTGAGGATCACGGCTCAAAGCCAGCCCAGGTGGAAAAGTCCATGAGACTCTGATCTCCAATAAACCAGTAGAAAACCAGAAGTGGTGCGATGGCTCGAGGTAGAGCACTTGCCTTGAGCTGAAGAGCTCAGGGACAACACCCAGGCCCAGAGTTCAAGCCCCACGACTGACAAAAAAAAAAAAAATTAGGCGGGGGTGGGGGTGGGGAGTGTAGTTGAAGAAGAGATGGGAGGGAAGGGATGGTAGGGGGAAAACAAAGGAGGAGGCAACAATACTTGATAAGAAATGTGCTCATTACCTTGCTCATGTAACTGTAACCCCTCCTCTGCACAATATTTTCACAATAAAAACACATATATATATATAAACTATGGTCAAATATTAATAAAGATGATGTCATTGTTAATAGTGTCTACATTTCTGACTTCAATGTGAAATTACTGTTCTGAATTTAGATTGAATAAAGTATCATGAGTGATAAAATCAGACATAACTGGTCAGGTTATGGCTTTTCTTATCTCCTTGATCATTTTCTAAAATCTCTTATTCTGAGTTTTAATTTTTACATTGTCAATAAGAGAGAGTAATATAAGAGAGGTCTTTGTATATAGAATGATATAGCAAAAGTTATTTCAATATTGTTTCGGACATATTAACATATTCTAAAGTTTTTCTCTTTAAATTAAGTATCCAAAAGGAATACTAATTTTGCTCATTTAGTTGAATGGATTAGAAATTTGGACAAAGCTTGTCTACTCTATAAATTCAGCCAAGCATAGTTCAGATGAGAATTATTAAAAATAAATAAAAATTAAAAAAAAGAATTATTACTTTAAAATTTTTTCTCTTAAGTAACTTCATTTTGAGTTCAATAAATGGACTGGCAAAACCCAAACGTAATAAAATTTGTATGTATGAGACAGATTCTCATACAAAGAAGAAAGTGGATTGCTGCTGTGGTTTCTAGTGACCTATCCAGTAGAAAATGTTTCTGTATTGATTGAGTCAAACAAACAGAATTGGTTAAATATTAATGTTGCACATTGTATTGTTAACCTTTGTAGCTGTGGCCTACTTTCAGTCGTCCGGAGTTGGTCCGATTGTCCTTGGAACTGTCATTAAAAAAGCTTCAATTGGACTACGTTGACCTTTTTATCATCCACTTCCCAATGCCTTTGCAGGTAAACTGTTTGTGTGCTCAAAATGATTTTCTAAGTGATGTCAACACATTCCTCAGTTCCTTGGATGGCTGAATTCCTACTTTCTCCAGTGGATTCATAAACTATTATGCTGAAGAAAATTCTATATAGTAATTCTTGATTCCCTTTCATTGAGTGATTTTCTAAATGACTCATTTTTGTTTTATTTCTTGTTTCTTTACTCTAAGAGAAAAGAGTTTAACAACATCAAACTTTCGGCCTCAGGAACTTGAAAATATACAATAGCCACAGTCTTCATATTCACTCTTTCCTTAGCCTTTCAGTAATGATGACAGGCATAGGTTCTCGAGTCTGTGGAGATCAATAAAACTACCATATACAGCCCAGCACCAATGGCTCATGCCTGTAACCCTCGCTACTCAGGAGGCAGAGGTCTGAGGATCACAGTTAGAAGCTAGTCCAGGCAAGAAAGTCCATAAGATTCTTATTTCTAATAAACTATGCAGAAAAAGCTGGAAGTGGTACTATGGCTCAAGTGGCAGAGAGCTAGCCTTGAGCACAAAGCCCCGAATTCAAGACCCAGGATCAGTCAAACAAAACAAAACAAAACTAAACTACCATAGGTATGCTGACTCCATCATCTCTTGTAATGGGGTTCTTAGATGTCACTTAGCCATGAACTATATTATGTAGAATATTTGATGTAAAGTTATGGAAAACTACATTGTCAGCTTGTGTGATAAGGTTATTGAATTACATAAGAAATCTAAGCTATGGTTAGATTGAAAGATGAGGTACTGTCATCCTTAGAAATGGGTTTCTCTGCCCTTCAGTGCTGCATTCCAACAGATGTATGCATTCTTGTCTCATCATTTGCTATTGGTAGAAAACATGACCTTGGTTAGTAAAACAAAAATCACTCTGAGTTTCCAGCATCTCCTTTATTGGTGAAGAAATGTGGACTGGACCTGTTTGATTCATACATGTGTCTTTGGGCCCTCATATGTCCAAGGGGAAAAAGAACTGGTTTGGCTTAGGTCATGAGCATAATCCATTCTTTTTTTTTTTTTTTTGGGTCTGGTTGTGGGGCCTGAACTCTGGGCCTGGGCGCTGTCCCTCAGCTCTTCAGCTCAAGGCTAGCACTCTACTACTTGAGCCATAGCACCACTTCCAGCTTTTTTCTTTTTGCTTATGTGGTGCTGAGGAATCGAACCCAGGGCCTCATGCATGCAAGGCAAGTACTCTACCACTGAGCCACCTTCCCAGCCCCATAATCCATTCTTGCTGGATGTCAAGGCCATGTATTTATTGTCTTTACCAACAAGAGAGGAATTTTCCCGCCACCCCCTCCCCCCAGGAAAATATAGGGACTGACAAAAGTAACATAAGTTAAATTAGATGTCGTTGGAAAATCATGTCATTGGAAACCAGTATTAAACATATAAAAGAGTAAATCTTATCTATGAAGGCTATTTCTGCTATTTCAAATAGAAAATATTCTGCAAATATAAATATCTAAGAGTTATTTACCTATTCCAGGAGTGTTTAATGGCCCAGTCTGAAATTACTTGGCCATGTGACTAATCGTAGCAGTATGTTTGATGAAATCTCTAAAACAAATACCTCTGTTCCAGCCTGGAGACCAAGTTGTGCCACGTGATGAAAATGGAAAACTATTATTTGAAACTGTGGATCTCTGTGATACATGGGAGGTGAGTCCTTGGAGAGCTTTGGGAAAGGAATTTGGCTCTGATTTCACCTATGAGCATGGGATTTTTTTTTCAGAGCTGAATCTAGAAAATTGTACCTCTCAAGGGGTGTTTTGGTGGAGTGGTAGAGAGAAAGAACTCATTACTGGAGACTCTCCTGCTTTCTAAATAGAACACCAAGAATTCTTTCTTACAGTCACTATCTCCTTTGATTATTTTCTTGACAATTTCTCTTCTTTTAGATAATCTACATCAATTGCTTCCTTTGAGCACTTCTTGGAATATACATTGATTTGAAGATAGCTGTACAAGCAATTCTTCGATTTTCTTTCTGCAGGCCATGGAGAAGTGTAAGGATTTAGGGTTGGCCAAGTCCATTGGGGTATCCAACTTTAACCGCAGGCAGCTGGAGAGGATCCTGAACAAACCAGGGCTCAAGTACAAGCCTGTCTGCAACCAGGTGAGTACCCTTCACCTCATCTCCTTATGCTCTTCCTTCCTTCCTTTCTTTCCACACTGCTGCCATGGGTCTAAGACCAGCACACACATATAAAAATAGATGACTACTTTAAGATTTCACTTTAAATTTCATGGCACAGTTTCTTTTAATTTAATGTATTGGATTTTGACATTTGCCTTTCATATTAATAGGAAGACTTCATATTATCAGATAACTTTTTGTCTTGTCCATCTCCAGGTAGAATGCCATCCTTACCTTAACCAGAGCAAAATGCTGGATTTCTGCAAGTCAAAAGACATTGCTCTGGTTGCCTATTGCTGCCTGGGAACATCTCGAGATTCACGATGGTAATAAAGACAATAGGGAGTTCATAGAACCTGCCCTTGTTCATGGAGCATTTTCAGTCCTGCAATACTCAAGGTTTCTGAACTTGGTTAGGGAGAGAGGAGAATTTACATGTCTGGTCTGGGGAGAACAGCTGAGGGTCTAGCATGGACTCCACAGTCTGTTTTGGCAAGTCCTTTGAACCATAGGCATACACTACTTCTGGAATCCAGCACTCGTGTCTCTCCTTCCAGGGTAGACCAGAGCTCCCCATTTCTCTTGGATGATCCAGTTCTTGGTGCCATTGCAAAAAAGCACAAGCGAACTCCAGCACTGGTTGCCCTTCGCTACCAGCTACAACGTGGGATTGTGGTCCTAGCCAAGAGTTTCAACGAAAAGCGAATCAGAGAGAACATGCAGGTGATGAGGGATGCGCAGGCATCATGGATTCTATGTAATAACTGGAACATTTGTGCTTCATTGTGAGATCTCAGGACACGTGTGCTGAACCGACTGCTTTGTTACTGTTGACACATGTGTGGTACAAGGTTGTTTTCTTTTTTTTTAACCGTGCTTTTTTTCTACCAGAGTGACAGGAAAGACAACAGGGTTGGATAGAATCAGGACAGGACAGAAAATAGAGATTTTGATGTGAGCATAATTCAGCAATATTCTCTGTAACCCTATGCAACTAACAATTTATCTTTTCTTTTATGAAATTGGAGAATTGGATTTTATAGTTTTATTTTTAATTTCCCCGAATACACCTATTATTTCATATTCATAAACTTACTTTCATGTACTCATTCAAGTCTATGCCTAATTATACAGGTTCAACTGTCTTATTGTTAAACATGAGACAATTATTAAACCATTTTAGGTAGCTATCTAGAAAACCACACCTACCGCTTGCTTGCTTAAGGCTGTAACATAGTAGTTTAACTGAAAAATTATTTGTGAGTCAGTTGCTGGTGGCTCACACCTGTAATCCTAGCCACTCAGGAGGCTGAGATCTGGAGGATTATAGTTTGAAGCCTGTCTATGCAGAAACGTCTATGAGACTCCAACTCAGTGGGCTGGAGGAGTGGCTCAAGTGGTAGAGTGCTGCTCAGAAAGTAAGCTGGGTAAGTGTGAGGCCTGAGTTTAAACCCTACCATCTCCAGTCTGTACTCATGAAAGTTATGAGTAACAATGAGTATATGCATTTATTTGAATATTTCTTTTATTCTGGCGTGGACTCCCACTTATCTGCAGTCCACTCTCTCATGAATCTGCAAGAAAATGAAGCCATCAGTTTCAGGTTGCTAACTGGATAATGCCAATAGTAGAACAACCAGTGGAAGACCAAATGAGGTCTCTTCCATGTATCTATATCTCCATCTCCATCTATATCTATCAGTCTGTCTGTCTGTGTCTCTGTCAGTCTATTCTTCAGCCAACTAGTCCAGGCTTCATCTCATTTCATGGCTTATTCCCACTACATGGACTTAAATAATCTTCCTCTATCTAAGCTCCAGATTTGTACAGCATTGATTCTGACAAATTATATTTGAGAAAAATGCAAGTTATAGGCCAGACTAGAGTTTGGGGATAATAGAGACCACTATTTAAAAGAATAAGGGGCCATGTGCTGGTGGCTCATGCCTGTAATCCTGGCCATTCAGGAGTCTGAGATCTGAGAATTGTTGTTTGAAGCTAGCCTGGGCAGGAAAATCAGTGAGACTCTCATCACCAATTAACCACCAGAGGACCAGAAGTAGTGTTATGGCTCAAAGTGGTAGAGAGCTAGCCTTGAGCAAAAGGAGCTCAAGGACAGCATCCAAACCCCAAGTTCAAGCCCCAGTTCAAAAAGAGAGGCTATGGATAATGGATATAGGCAATTGTGAAATACTGGGGAATATATTTTATCTAGTCAACTATAGTTGTCTATTCTCAATACAAATTTTTAAAAAGGCTCACATCTGGTTAGAGTAGGCTTGTATGAACAAATTTCAACTAAGTGTAATGAAATTCTTCATACCTTTCTTTATGAGTACTTCACAAATCACGTCTTGGAAGCATACACTAGTTATACTAGTTTACTCTTTGACTCTGCACAAGTGTTATGGTGTTTTTTTCTAATGTAGTTGGAAGTGTTTTTTGGGGGGGGCAATTCTATGTGTAATTTTGTCAATTACATGTGTAATTCTGCCGGAATATATAAATATCACACTCACAGTCATTAAAGTTCACTATGCCTATATTTGAATAATTTCAGCCCTGCATCTTCTCTAGTTGGAGAGCTCCTTTTTCTGTAGTATAATGCAGTTTCATTATTCTGGATTTCTCTTACTTTTTTTTACAGGGTATTTTTGTTGTTGTTAACAATGTGAGTGCTTTTCTTGGTATCTTCACAAACCTTTGGAACCTTTTTATCTCTTATATTTTGCCTCTGCACTACTTGGGATTCCTCAGATTGCCAACATATAGTATGAAAATAAAAAATTCTGTTTCTGCAACAGGTGTTTGATTTCCAGTTGACACCAGAGGATATGAAAGTTATAGATGGTCTCAACAGAAATTTCCGATACAATACTGCCTCTTTGTAAGTAATCTTGTTAAAGATATTGCCTCAACTTATATTGAGAAAGAATACAACATATGTGTTATAAGTTGTCTCAATATGTGGAAGACAGAGGATGGTTTGGGTTAGGGATAAGACGGGAACTTTTGGGAATTCTCTTCCCAGACTTTATTCAGAAACTTTCTTCTGTGAGTGGAAGCAGAGAAAGCTAGGACTTTCTCACATGCCCTTTTTCACTTTTCATTCCATGGAACTTTCTAGATCACCCAATATCCATGCTGAAACTACACTTCTGAGGAGGTATCTTCATTCTATACAGGTTTGTCTATTCCCAACAGAGCTTAACTGTGTCTAAAAGGAAGCTTATGCCATATTCTTCTTGTCTCTCAATTATCAGATTAAGGATATCTCCATTATCCTTGTGATTCAAATTAGAAAGCATCATGTATTCTCCATGGAACTGTTTGTGCTACGTTTGTCTAGGGAACAGCTGATCTTAGCATGGTCAATAGGAAGAGCTCATTTCAGCTTCTGAAATATGGAGAGCTCAACACAGAGAACAGACAAAGTTTTTGGTCCCAGAGATAAAAATACAGAGGACAGAGCTTGGAGTCCAGCTTCCATTGAGGGAAAGAATTTACAGACAACAGTCCTCACTCTTCCTCCTGTAACTCTGAAGTCATAGCAACCAAGAAAGGATGTACATTACAAAGGAGTGTATACAAGAGAATCAATTCCTTCTGTTTGTGTGAATTAAAATTCATAGTAGAAAGAAATGACATAATAAATAAAGAACTCATTTTATCACCTTATAAATGGAATCATCAAGCTCACAATATGCATTGTTTCAATTTTAGTTTGGCTGATCACCCAGATTTTCCTTTTCATGATGAATATTAATGTGAAGACCTTTGTGGAGATTTCAGAAGCCCCTCTTACGCATGGTGATGCTCGAGATACAGCCAGTGGATGTACTAGTGCTTGTTAGTCCATGAAATCTGCCCCCTCACACTCAGCTGGAGGTCTGGAAGGGAAGACACTAAATTCTTGTTACATTCTGAAAAATAAAATGTTTTTTTTTAAAAAATCCCTGAAGAATCTTATGCAGTACTGCCTCCATTATTTGAATGTTTTGTTTCATTCTGATTCCTTAGACCCCAAAAACTAGTTTTGCCTAGAAGTAATGGGCAGAGAGTGGAGGTGAAAAATAGTCACTTTGTAGATCTAAGGCAGGAGTAGGAACTTGTTAGTCCAATGAGCTCCCTTCCCATGGCTTAGCATGCTCCCTTCCTAGGCAATACTAGGCTTATGTAGTAAAGGAAGTATATAATCAGCCTCCAACCCCCCTTAACCTTGGGATGGCATTTCTCTGGGGCAGCTACTACCATGTAAGGCAGCCAGATCCCATTAGAGTGACCTTCAGGTCTGGGCAGCTGCAGCCTCTTATCTATTTGGGCAGCAGCCATAAATCTAGTGAACCCATAATGCTCCTCACATCCACATCTTAGGCCCTTCTAGCCCATCCTAGATCTCCTAGGTTATACAGGTCACCTCAGACAATAGTTGGCACTTCTTCTCTTCTGTGGGAAGGGATCTTGCCCATCTCTTTGTTGACAATAAACCTTTTCTTTGATCTTTGTACCTGGATGTCTGCGT